ATGCCCATTGTATAATCAGACCAAAGCAATGAAGCACCTAGTGTTGGCCAATAAATAGTATAGTACTACTTTTGTGCAGTCCATTAAGTGACTATCCAATCTTTCCATGTCTATTTTCAAATGGCACTGCATGCAGTGACTATATTATTCTCTTGTGCAGTTCCATCAAAATTGCGGTCACTTTGTTTGTTTTCCAAATAGCAATGGGCAGACATTTGTGTGCACAAATATCAAGCAACTAGTAAACATATACCCCACTTTGTATTTTTGGTTTAAAGATGCCTCTTTCGCTTAGCATTTGTCATGTTTTGCACTGGACAATTTGATATTGTCATGTTTTTCCTTGGACAATTTCGTACTTAATTGATTTGTTGGTACAGAGCAGAAATATAGCGCCTATTCTTCATTAGACCAAGGATATCCATGTTCGTAGTGATGAAAGAGGTGAAATCAATACAACCGAAATTGAGCATCCAGTCATTGAATTATGTCCTGCACCTCCAATGTAGGTCCACCCCACCAATAAATTCACATGCGAACCACTAATATTACTATCTAACGACAGTACAAAAAGAGTGGCAAGATAGTAGCAAACCATGTACCTTCATAATGAACAGCTCATAGTGCCACCAATTGGATATAAAGGTTTGGAAGAAAACATGTTCCTAATGTTGAACCATTTGGACTTTTTGTGCAATTCCACTAAAATCGAGCATCCCTGTTTGCATAGATATTGAAAGTGTGATTACTATAAAAGTGGCACTAGTTTAAGCATAGACTCACAAATATAAGCATTCCAATTTCTTAATGGGAGAAGGTAGCAAGACTGTTTCTAATCACCCGTTTGAAGAAATAAATTAGGTAACAATGTCTGATGTCAGGAAGGCATACATAGTATTTTCTTAAAAATTGAACAATTCCTGACCTTTCCTTTTCATTTAAGCATATTTTGTGCAGTTCAACTAAAATAAAATGCCATCACTTCCTTTACAGTTCAGCGACACTGTACAAAAAGAAATGACTTAACATTATATCATGATGTCAGGTATGTAATCGACAGGCATTAGAGCCAAACATACAGACCTCCTTCGATAACATAATGAACATTAATTTTAAGAAAGGTGTGACTAGCTTGACCGGAATAATTTGAGTGAACTCTACACCCTCTGTTCTTTAATATAAGACGTTTTTTCAGTTCAATTTAAAGTACCCAAACGTCTAGTATTTAGAAAAACAGGTAGTAGTTTTCTTGAGCACATATCTGAAAAATCTTGCCACACTTTATATATGTCCATACGCTAATGCAACACCATTCAAATAGTACAAATATAGACTAATCCAGTGGCTAGTGCAACAGTAGAGTAGTTTTTTTTATTACGAGGTACAGTACAAAGGTTTTAATAAACATATTTCTATAAGCTAGCATTGGAAGATTTCTATAAGCATTAACAATACAAAATGTAAAGGTAACAAGTTTCAGCATTGGTATACTAGTTGTGCAACAACATTAAACGAAATACAAAATTCTGAAGGTAACTAGCATTATTAACTAATGACAGTATAAAAAATGCAAAACATGTACCTTCAAGGTAAATATCATTTCGAACTCGAGGGGATTTGAAAACTTGCTATCCCGATCTTGATAATCGATCAAACATAAAAACTTGATCGGACGGATCAAGAGAACAGCCAGAGGAGGAGGTGCCCACTCTTGACCTTTCCTCTTCTCTTCGTAATTTTTTTTGCAATTTAACCAAAATAAAATGACATCAGCGCCTTGGCATTTTGGTGACACTGTACAATATTTTTTTGACTTACCTCATGAAAGTGAGGTATGTAATCTATAAGCTTTAACAGGGCAAAAATCTGAAGGTAGTAACAAGTTTCATCGTTTGTATACTGGCTGAGCAACAACATTAGAATGCCTTAGCTGAAATTTTTTTAATACATCCACAATCAACAGCTAACCCTGAAATAATCCAGTGACATTAAATGGCATTGCTTAAATTTATCGGTGGCATTAGACTGAGTGCGGCATTAGTTAAATGTGGCATCACTTTAGCAGTAGTATTGCTTGACTTTATCGCTGGCGTTATACAAACAGCAAAAAAGTGGCAATAAGAGTGTATGAGGCCCATTCGAGCTGTGGGCGCACCAGTACGATGTGCCTCCACGGACGCATAGAGTGGTGCCCAGAGCAACAAATATCCAGGTAGCATATGTGGATTATGTCCCATTTTTGTTCTCTGTAGCCACCTTCCTATGTGAGGACAACAAACCGATCAACCTGTTCATTCTCTATTGCGTTGTCATGTCTTTCTATCCCTTTTCACCCTTTTTCAACCAAGAGACACGAGACTCGTTTCTTAGCTACTGATTTTCCCCTTTTCAACCGAGATGCGGGTTCGATGCCTAGTCTCTTCGACAGTACTTTCTCCCTTCCTTATCTTATTCAACCTAGACATGGATTAGTCTGCATGAAGTAGGGTTTCCTTTAATAGTGTAAATTAAGGTTTTCGTCTGCTTAACCAACAGAGCAGAAGATAGCAAATAGGGAAGAAGGTGGAGTGGAAAAAGATCCACATGGAGCGACGTGGCAGATGGGGCAATAGAACAAGGGTATGGTTCGAAAAGAGGTAGCATACTTGAGGGTTGGTGGGAAGTGGCCTCGCTCATGGTCGTCGTCCTCCGCACACACTACGGCAGTGAGCTTGGGGACAGAGGCCATCCCGCGCGGGCGCTAGGTCTGAGAGGACGACCTTGTCGTCAGTGCGCGACCTCGCTCGCCAACGATGAGTGTGTCAACACTGCACGTCATTTTCTTCCCCGGCGGATCTGTGACCACCAGTGAGGAAAGAGAGAGAGGTCGTCTTTTTTAGATTTGGAGAAAGGGTGATAGTGTGAGAAGCAAGTGGGCAGCCCTTAGCAAACAAGCGCTGAAGCTCCAGCCTATATATCTTTTTTGAATGGAAAGGAAACATCATCATTTATATCCATGAACGAGAGAAGATATATATTTCTTTTCATCCTTCAACTGTTCATTGAGTTCAAGTTTCACCACACCAGTAAAGAAGTCACCAAGGTGGCTACAGTTAACGCCCTGGCGAAGATGATGGTCGCAGCCGGGTCTCGTTCGCTGTCTCCCCGCCCAAGCGATTCCTCTAGTCGTGCCACTGGTGGCACATGTCCTGCAGCTACATCTCCATCTGATGATCCGCAAAAAGAAGCTACATCTCCATCCAAGGTTCAGCAACATGGCACCGGCTGCAAGGCTCCAGAACATTCAACTCGGCCGTGGGGGGAGCTATCTATGTTTGGACAGCCAAGACCACTCTCCGGGCTTCCACGAGCACCTCTTTGCGCATCAATAGGCACTTGCCAGATTTGTTAAGTGTCCAATGCAAGACGCTCGAGGGATGTCATGGACCAGAGGATATGACACGTTAACTCGACCAGACTTTTGGCTGAGCAGAAATTGATGACCTGAATGCTCTTTAGTCCATCATGACAGTGATCATGTGTCGTCCTCTGTCTACGAAAACAAAGGCACAATTCCACCGGCATGCACATAAGCTGAAGGTCTCCACGGAAGGAGCAGCATAGAGAAACGAAACCAGAGTAAGAGTATGGAAAAGTCTTAAACTGAGATGCACGGTGGAGGATTGTTCACATTCCCTTTTCCTTTTGAATGAGGGATAACAAGGGATGAATGTGATGTTTTTTCTTTTGCATCGAGGGAGGGGGGTTAGACGTGTCAATGTACAATCCCCAACTCCAAGTTAATAGCAGAGATTTATATAATTTGCAAAAGATAAGCACATAAACACGTAGGCACACACGAATACTTAGTTTCTTTTTAGGGCTATACGAATACTTAGTTACAAATGAACATTTGGTGATATTCCTTTTCAAATGACACCTACAATAACCTCTTTAATTAGTTAATGAAAGAATAAAGACATACCCTATAGGTGCCTGTGAACACCCGTACAAACGTCAATAATACCTGTGGCGGGTCTGCCGCCCTAAACTACCTAAGATTAAGAGCATCCTCTTAGCACTGAAACTCCTTGTCTCACTGCCGCCTAAATATCTAGGCATTTGTAAGAGAGCTCTTTTACGGTACCCGGGTACTCCCATGGCACTAACCGGAGTACTAAACAGATCTAGCCGTCCATGATGATGGGTAACTTAAAATTTTTACGAATGGTATTTTGGGCTTTTACACAATAGAGGCCCGATTGTTCAGTTTCTTAGAAAGAGGCTGTCGCTCGATCCTGCATCCCAGCCGAGAGGCTAGTAGGCGCCGCCGCCGCCAGCCAGATTGAAGATTTCTCTTCAGTCCAACAAAATTGTTGTCGTCGCCTCTGGCAATCGCATCGTCGGCTGCACGCTCGGCCCTTGCCCTCGATGTCTCCGTTGATTCTCCGTCGGTGCATCGTTTGGGGAAAAGCCTGGGACAGTGTATCCATCCGCTGCATTCCTCCAGGTCCAGGATGCACTACTGGGCTTCACAAATCCGTCCATTATGTTCAGATATTAGAACGTGCGAGCTTCCGACCTGATTGTGGAGGACACAAGCACGGCGGCGGGGGCAGGCGGAGTAGATCGCGGTGGCGGCAGTGTTCGCGGACGGAAACGAGTGCAGCGCGGCGTTCGCACGAACCAGAGGTTGCAGGGGGGGAAATATCAAAATACCCTCAAGAGAAATAACCATAAAATGATTTTGATGCTATTACTCTTTTTCCCCTTTGATCAGGGTACTTTGTGACTCACCGACTCAGTACTCCGTTGAACAAAAGATGGAGTACCGGATCATACTAGCCACTGGATTGAGAGAAATAGACGTCTTATATTAATTCAAGGTACTGTAAAATAGCTCTTGTAAGACCCTGAAATATAGAACATGGCTAAACAATCTTGTCTTATTTATCCCTTCCATTGTAGAAAAAAGACTTGGAAGAGCTAAATCATCACATGAACCAGCGCAAGTCCAAGTCCTAGTCCGAGTTAACTTGGTCAGGTGACACAAGAGCAGAACACCCTTCTTCATTAGTGATAGGATAATAAGCTACAAAGGGAAAAAAATAGCATTGTTGAAAAAACAAAGTTGTGTAAGATTCCAAAAGTATACATGCATTTAATAGTTCAATATACATTTCTTACATAATGAAAGACACCTCTGTGCTAAGAATTTTAAGGCGAGACTATGCCAACAATAGCATGCATTACCTCAGTCCAAAGCAATGCCAGGTGCTAACAGGAAAATCAAACATTGATGCCATGGCATAAAATAGAACGCGTTGACCTAAAATTGATGAATGCTGTGCATTCGACAACTCAAAAATCATAACGTGTATACGTTCTTTTTATATTGCGATATCCAAATCATTGGGTGGATGTAACACATATATTGCACAATGGATATAGGCGAATCTACAGAAAATGGGTGCAAATAACTTGAGATTCATAAATACCAGTCCACATCAAAGTTAGATGTGACTAGGTTGAAAAAAACAGAGAGTTATACCTCCTTCAACAACTTCTCGGCGATCGGATAAATTTACAGTTAACTGTTTTGTTCTCCAGACATGGTTGGCCGTGTGAAATACTCGGACCTATGGAATCAATGCGACTATTTGTTAGTGCTAGTATTTTACAAAGCATTATTTGTTTGAAGAATGGAAGACAAACGAGCAAAGCATGTTTGTATCGACTTACAGAAACATCCACTTTAGCATTAATGTCATTTCCTCTATCAAAAGTGCCCATGCATATGCTCAACAACTTGTTTTCCAACTGAAAGTAGCAACACGAAAGCAAGAGGTTATAAGAACAAAAACCAAACATAACAGAAAGTCTAATATATCTTTTTAGTTTTATTTAAAAGGTAATAAAATCATAATGTACCTCAATTGTGGTGGAAATACGTTCTCCATCAATGCATTCAATAATATCACCAACTCGGATTCCAACTTTCTCAGCTTGAGATCCTATTGACACCTAAGATTTCATTGGCAATATTTAATCAGTTGATAAGATGCATGAGAAGGGAATGACAAAAACATAATTGAAGTTATTAGGAAACTAAACGAAATGATTCCGCAGATTTTCCTGAGAGAGGAGACATAGCCAAGGACACCTTGGCCCGTCGCAACGTTCGCAGTGAGGGCTTGGCAGGCCCACCCCTCCAACTGGGACGACACATTATCGCACCTGCAGGGGAGGACACAAGTGTTCGTTGGTTCGGGTGGGGGCTTTTCCTTTTTGACCACCGCTAGGATTAGATAGCAGCTAAGCTCGAGATTAAGACATCAAGGCCAGCTGCGACGTCGTCGGTGTGGGCTGTCCTAACCTATAGGTGCTCCCAAATATAATTGCAAGTCAAAATGTAAGCAAAATAAACAATTGTATACCTCTTTAACAACAAGACCATCATCAATGTTTAGCTTGCGCCATATATACTCAGCATGGATGGGATCTAAAAACTTCAGGGCCTCACACTGTAATCCAAGATGGGGCCGAGGGATGCACCTACAAAATCGTAACACAAAATTTAGTTCTGGACATCAAAATATGATTGCTTTGGTTAAAGGTAATTTAAGTTAACAAAAACAAAACATTCAATGAAACTTTATTTATGCGCTATGTACTAATTAATTCAGTCGGTACA